CTGGCTTCGACAGGGAACGTTTTTACGATATTTCAATGAAAAACCCTAAAAAAACTTCAAATGCCCATAACTTCTGAACCGTTTGAGCTACAGCGCTCCAAAAAATCAGGAGAACGTTTCTTGATATGGACTATTTTTAGGGGAAAAAAAATAATTTTTCCCGAGGGGTCACTTTTATTTAAATAAATCTAGTTTGGAATGTCTCACGTACCATTCGTCACGGCCAGCAGCCCCAACAGCGCCGTGCCCGTGTTGTCGGCCAGGTAGGCGTAGTTGATGGCCAGCACCTTGAGGGCGCGCAGCAGCGACAGGACGCGTACGAACTCCGACTCCTTGGCTGGAAGACGAGGGCTAATCAGTGCACCTCGAAGCCTTCGCCAGCGGGGCTCTGTGCACAGCGGGACTCACCACCCCCGAGCATCGGGCTGTGTCCGACCTGGAAGGCACACCAGAGGTTTAGCTCGGCCAGGCAGTCCGTCGAGTGCGCCACCAGAGCTCGCAGCACTCGCGCTCCCTCTCGCCTCTCCATCATGGCGTTCTCCAGCGACACGGCCATCACCCGGCGCGATCTGCGGCTAGCAGAGTCCGTCGTCCAGGCGGGTGCCGTCGACGTAGTGGGGGTCGAACTGGCGCGTGTCGTGTTCCTCACCGCATGAAGTTCTCCAGCTTCCTGACTACCAGGCGCCGCGTCCAGGAGTCGAGCCAGCGCAGCTGGAGCAGCCCCTCCGGCAGCTGCACCACCTCCATCCTGCTCCGCCTCGCGCGGCCGCTCAGCATGCCTGCAAGGCCGTGGGGGAGGTCCTCCGTCACCAGAAACACGGCCAGCGAGATCGCCGCCACCGCCAGCCGCCACCGAGCGCGGCCCTAGTCGCGTCCACGACCTTGGAAGCATCGCGACACCTCCTTGACCTCCTCCGCCGAGGGCCTGCGGTCAGCCTGGCGCTGCAGCCACAGGAAGCGGCCGAGGAAGGAGGGCAGCTTGGGCACGGTGTGGGCGGCCGGGCGCAGCAGGGTGGAGCAGTGGTCGGCCAGCTTCCAGTGCGCGCGCCGCTGCTGGGCCGAGGCCGGCTGCACGACCCCTGTTGGCCCTGGCCTCTTCCCCTGTAACCGTCACCCGCCGGAGCCGCGGTAGAGACAGAAGGGCTATGCATTACGATGAACGAGGAAGATCAATTTCTTTCTGTTTGTCTTCACCCCGTGCTCCACGCGATACGGCCCGCAGTGCACGGTGTGGGAGCTGTCTGCGGTGGTCGCGGCCGACCCGGGAGCGGTCAGACCCGACGTCGCGGCCTCCTGGGAGTCTGAGCGGTCGAGCACGGCCGAGGTTCGCATGGCAGGCAGCTGCACCAACTGGGCCCAGCATCGGGCAACGTCAGAGCAGCGGGGAGCCTCCACATCCCAGCAAGCAGGAAGGGTCGGCGCAGCCGGCGAACGGCGACGTTGTGGCTCCATGATCACCAAGGGTTTGGACACGCTCAGGCTCAACATCACGGGGGGCGCCGAGACAGCCATCTGTGATCTGTGTGGATAAGCGTCACGCGGTCACGCGCTGGACTTGGGCAGCTAGGGAGCGACGAGGGTGCGATTGTTGACGACGGACGGGCCTTCGCTTACAGTCACCAGTTCTATACCAAAATTGGCAAATGTAGGAATAGACTTTTAGTTTAACCAGATAACATCAGTAAAGACTGTAACGTCGGGCGGTAGTGTTCCTCCTTCCTGAGAAAAATAAGTCTGCTTTCTTTTATTTTTACAAACAAAAGATAACTACACATATACATACACATGGAAATAGAGAATACAAAAATGTATTGAATAGTTTTCTGGCGGTTAGACCTCGTACATTCCGAAGAGCACTAGAGAACAGCTTTGACATATGACACGAGAAGTATGGTACACATTTTCGAGATCACTGCGACCCCTGCTGAAGCAGGGTCATATCATTATACCCACCTCCACATTGAGGTGCAGGTATGCCATAATTATAGACCCGTATAAGGGATCATCACAATACTATATTCAGAAAGTACGCCCGTCATTCGCCGTTACGAACCTGCCAAGTTCAGTTCCTGCAAGCTCTCAAAACGCCTGGTAGGTAGACAATTTCTTGCCTGCAGGGCATGCCTGTAGTGCGGAGTGGCCTACCTTGAGTATCGCAGGCGCCAAGCTTCCGCACTTTCTAGGCGATCCCTTTCCAGGGCAAGTGGTCTAGTGGGCACATTCATAACACAGCATAAGCATAGGCAACTGTCACTATAAAAGGCAGGGGGGAAACTACGGTGCTAGCAGAGCACTATGGGGGGTTAGCTCAACATCCTACCCCCTGCCCCCGTAGTGGGAGTAAAACGGCAACATAACCTACACCCTGATCCTGGTCGGGGTGCCGTCATATTACACACTACCCCCACAATCCCCCAGAAGACGACCCGTCTGCAGCTCTCCCTGCACCAAACTGTTGGGCGTTGACTAGTTGCCGGGCGCCTGGCTTATAGGCAACCCTGCCGCAGGTCTGCGTTGTGCCGCCAAGTGTTGCATACCATAGCCCGGCCTATACCCGGCCTCTCTTGAAAGATGCCAAGAAAGATGCGTAACGAGGATAGTCTAGGGATCCAAGACGACGGACTCCACGCCCTCGCCCTCATGTGCCAATTGAGATGTTCTCCGGCGAAACAACCCGGCCGGGCCGGTGAACCCTTGCCCCTCCTCCCCCTTCCCCGATCGCCCAGCCTATGGTTATTTCCGTCACCCCTTGGCCCGGCGCCGCGCTGCCGGTCTGCGCATCACATCTCGCTCGCACTGCACAGTAGCCGGCCGACCCCCCTCCCCGGGCTGGCAGGTGCGGCTCGCGTCGGCGTCCCGGCGCCCGCACCGCAGTGGCACGCACCGGCAGCGGCACGGCGGCCACGGCGGAGCTCAGGACCATGGCCGCGCTGCCCGTCGTGCGCGCCCAGGGCGGAGGCTCCGCCGTCGTGGAGCTGGAGGTGAGCGACTGGTCGGACCTGGACCCGAACTTCACGCAGGTCTGCAACAACGCGACGCTCCAGTCGGACCGGCGGGGCTTCTTCCTCGACCTCGCCGAGGAGGTGGCGGACGAGGCCGGCCTCGGCTTCGTCGAGGAGTTCGCCAAGCTCAAGGAGGACGGCGCGCGCATCGCCGCCTGCTACTCGCACCCCAAGGTGCGCGGCCGGGTGCGTGGGATGCTGGGCAACGTGCAGCCCGTGTACCGCTCCAAGGCGGGCGACGTGTCGGCGCAGCGCCGCCTGGAGGGCGAGCGCGTCCTGCGCGGCGGCAACGCGCGCACCGCCCTCACCGCCCTCAGCCAGGCCGTCATGCGCGCGCCCACGGCGCCCACCAAGGAGCCGCTGCTCGCCCTCGCGCTGTGGGCGCGCTCCGAGGCGCTGCTGCAGCTGCGCTACTTCCAGCTCAGCCTGGACGACGTGCAGCTGAGCATGAAGAGCGGGCTGTCGGAGGAGAAGAGGTAAGTTACCGGCGAGGGCAGCTCGTACCTTGCCCGTCCCACTCGTGACGTGACCCCAGACTTGTGCCGTGTGCAGGCTGGACGCGTTCTACCGCATGGGACTTTGCCAGCATGGCCTGGGGGAGGTCAAGAGGGCGGCCGCCTCGCTGCAGGTCGCGGCGCGGTTGCTGGAGAAGGTCGCGAGCGCCAGCGAGAGGACCGCCTGGACGGCCACACTCCAGCAGGCAGTGGGCGCCCTCCGGGTGCCAAGGGAGGGCAAGCCAGCGGGGGTCCAAGGTGAGTGTCCTTTCGCGATGGGCATGATCCGTACTACTCGAACCTTGCAAGTCAACCCTTGACCTCCACCAGTGCCAGGCCCAGCACCGCCCCTCGCCGGCGGCCAGCACCCGGAGATGCCGGCGGCCTCCACCCTCCTCAAGGTCGCTCGCTCCAAGGCGGCCGGCAGGCAGATGGTCGCGGCGCACCCCATCAAGACCGGCGCCACCCTGGTCGTGGAGGCGCCCGCGGCCGCCTGCCTCCTACCCGACAAGTTCGGCACGCACTGCCTGCACTGCTTCGGCCGGCTGGTGGCGCCCGTGCCGTGCGAGACATGCAGCGGCGTGGCCTTCTGCGGGCGGGCGTGCCGCGACGCCGCGGAGCCGTACCACCGGCACGAGTGCCGCCACCTGGGCCTGCTGCTGGGCTCGGGCATGAGCGTGCTCTGCCACCTGGCCCTGCGCGCCGTCACCCAGCGCGGCCTCGCCTCCCTCCAAGGCCTGCGCGCCCACCTGAGCCGGCCGGCAGGGGCCAAGGCCGACGACGAGGCCGCGCTCACGGACGACCAGCAGCGCTTCCTCAGGGTGTGCACTCTGGAGGCGCACGAGGAGAGGCGTTCGGGCAGGGACTTCTTTCACCGCAGCATCATGACCCTGTTCCTGCTGAGGATACTACAGGACAGCGGCTTCTTCCCCGAAGCTTCCTCTCTGGAAGGTATGTTCGCGGGGTTCACAAATAACGCAAAAATACTTTGTCTTGTACTTACTAAACAGCCTAAACGGTTCCTTTCACTGCGCCCTCTAGGTGAACTGAATGCGGACGAGCTTCTCGTTGGTTCGATCCTCCTGCGACTCCTGCAGATCCTGCAGTTCAACGCGCACGAGGTGTACGAGACCGTCATCCTGCCGCGGCCCGCCGCCAAAATCCAGGAGGAGGGCGCGAGAAGCAAGTTCCGGTCCGCGAGGGTCGTGTACATCGGCGTCGCGGTCTACCCGACCGTCGCCCTGTTCAACCACGACTGCTACCCGGCCGTGACCAGGCACTTCCGAGGCAAGGACATCGTCATGACAGCGACCCGGCCTCTGGCCCAGGGCGACGTGGTGGCCGAGAACTACGGGCCCATCTTCACCAAGCGCACGCTGCAGCAGCGACAGCGGACCCTGAACTCCCGCTACTGGTTCCACTGCACCTGCACGGCCTGCGCCGAGGATTGGCCCCTCATGGAGGAGCTCAAAGAGGACGACTTTAAATTCAGGTTAGTTGCATGCCCCCCCCC